AAAATATATATATATATATATATATATATATATATATATATATATATGAAACTTCTAATTGTTCAAAAACAAAGGTTTATGAGGCTCTACTAATCCTAAATATCTAGGGAAATTAAAAATGTACAATTAGGTCTGAAGAGAATAAAACCGTTTAAGGTGGATCAATAAGGGGGCCAACACTTTTTTTAACAGTGACTGTTAGCCCCCCCTGGCCCTTCCCTAGTGGCACCTCTGGATTCAATTCAATTTGTGGCTTTTAAAAGTCCAAACAGCCCTCTAGGAAAAAAAAAAAAATAATGTTACCCATGTGTGCCCGTTCATACTTGAACTAAAACGACATTTTCTTTCTGGAAATCTCGTCTCACAACAAAAACCGGAACCAAGAAAAGCGACGGGGAGCAGCCTGAATATATTTGTTTCATCTCGTTCAAGATTATTCTAAAATCAAAACCTCTTAGTGGCTTTAGGAAATAATTACAATACTTTCTAAAAACAAAACAGTCTGTTAGAGGCTCCTCCTTGAGGTTTTAATGCTGATGATCATTTCATCTTTAATTGCTCTAGTTTATTGATTTTTTTGTAAAAGGTTTTATTTTTTTAATATTTAACCGTCATCAAAAAATACTTTTAGAGATTTTAAAGCAACGTGTGTTTGATATAAGCATAATATTCTTGATTTAGGAACCAAAAATACAAGGGAATTAGGATTTATAAGCAAATTATAATAAAAATAAAACAATCTGCATGAGGGAGTGTATGAGGGGAATAAAAAAAAAAACGTACACAAACCCAACACCAAATATTTGAGACATACCCTCACCGGTCCACTCGTTAAGAGAAATAGCTAACGAGTCAATAAACGCAGCGACTTAATGCCTTTCAGCATCTCGGCTTACTGCAGTTCGATCCAGGCGTCAGAACAGGAGAGAAAGAGGATTTAAGTGAGATGCTTGTTGGTCTGAGTATTTCAGAAGCTGTTCTCCCACAAACATCTTCAGGAGACCAGGTGATGTTTTCAAAACTCTCTTTTTCCAAACTAAGAGTTTTCTGTGGACCCTGGTTGGAAGGAGGGGGTGATTTGAGCTCCGCTTGACTTTTTATCACCTCAAACTTTCTCCTCTGACCAAAACAAGTTGTTTTTTTGTCCACGCAGCTGCTGCTCGCTGGATATTTGTTCTGTTTTGGTCCATTATCTTTAAACGGTAGAGATGGTTGTGTAAAAATCCCAGAAGATCAATAGTTTCTTAAATCCATTTTCTTCCTTGCTCTGATGGAAGTCGATTTCTGCACGTCTACAGGCCCTAATTTATGCTTTTGTCTTTTATTCCTGAAAATAATAAATCTTCTAACAATCCACTATAATCATAGTATGTTTACGCGTTTTTCTTTTTCTAAAAGTGCAACTTTTGTCTCTTTAACAGACACAAGAATAAGATTTTATAACACGACAAAGCTACTTGTGAGCAGATATTAGTTAAATAAAACAGATTAAAGGTTTAACTTCCGGCTCGTCCATCAGCTCCCAGGTTCTGAGGCGTGGGACTCGGCTCGCCCGCAGGTTCCCACCTCAACTTTTCCACTGGCAGCGATCAGAACGCTCTGATAACGAGTTTCCACTCGCACAACGAGCGCACGACTCTTTCAGGTGGTTTTAGAGTCAAACAGTCGACTCAGAACAATTAAAGGATCGAATTAAAAATAAAACTTTCTGCCCCCAACTAATAAAACCTGACGGCTCAGTCCAGTCTGAGATTACTCACATGGATCCGCACTCGCTGGTCCCCCTGAAAAACAGAAAAGAAAGCCCCTGTTAGAATCAGTAAATAAAGCAGGAGGAGGTCAGAGGTCAGGAGGCTTACAGCTGCAGAGGAGCGAGGAGGTGAGCAGTAGCAGGAGGCCCATCCTGTCCGAACACCGAGGAGCCCGGCTGCCCTGCAGGGTGACAAGCTCCAGACTGAAGCTGGCTGCAGAGTGCACGAGTGGCGGGTTGTGGGTGGGAGCGGACACCAAGCTGGCCACTCGGCGGCGGTTATCACACCGAGCAGCCATCAGCTTGGCTTAATTTGACAGGAAGTGAGTGTTGTTTCCTCAGGATGTTCACACCGCCCGGCTCTTTGCTGCCGTGGAATGTCCTCCTCCACGGACGCCGTGCGAGCGGGAAATGGTAGTCACAATAACGCCGGACTGCTTGGGCACGCAGCAGTCAGGCCTTTGACCTTTGACCCCGACTGGCAGAGCCCGTGCAGCAAAAACTCGGCTTCCTTAAAGGCAGATCGACAAGTTACTGTGCACGGGTTTTCACTGACAGAAATCAGAGGCTGCTTCTTACAGGACATGATGTTTAATTATCTGAGAAACCAAACACAAACTTTACGCTAAAAGTGTTGGTCCATAAATAAATTTAAACTTTTTCACTTACAGTGCTCACGACAGTGAACATTATGTTTGGATTGTATGGATTACAGCATAAAACTCAACAATGTCTTCAAAGGCTCTTAAATAATCCCTCACACTGCCACCTTGTGGCTAACATGAGGAAGTGCACAAAATATTTCTCTTAAGAAGGCTGACAAAACCATGAATGTTTTTGAAATTAAAGAATGATAAACAAGTCAGGATTTTGATTTTAATTTCAGAATTTTGAGAAAAAGTAAAGTCTGAGAAGAGACATCAGTTTTTTTTTTTTAACTGTGGCCCTAAAATCGTTTTCTGTACATCCATGTCAGGAAAATGAAGCCAATTCTTCTGCAGCAGACGGATGTACATTTTACACAAGATAACATCTCAACACTGGGAATGAGACTTCCGCTAGTAATAATTTGATTTCAGAGATTTAAACTTTTAACAGCTTAAACAGGAACTTTTATTTCTGGATCTTTTTTTAAAACAATTTAGCTGCAAAAGATTTCTACAACATTATATTTCCTGTTATTCAATAAGTATAGATTTTTTAAAGAGTTTTGCAAACATTTTTATTCCTCTGGTATTTATTTAATTTGTTGCCTTACAACCTGGAATATAATTATTATTATTTTAAAATTGGTTAAATTATTTCTACAAAATATTTCAGATTAATAAAGGTACATGGGGAAAACTTGTTTAAAATAGTTCTATAAAAAAAACCCCTAAAAACTGGAGTGCACGTGTGTTTTCAGCCTCGTTTCTTCGGGTTCATCTAATCTGGACTTTTTGTTCGTTGTTCTTCACAACGTTTTCTCTGAGCTGTGTGGAGTGTTCCTTGGTCTTCATGATGGCTCTGTGAGAACACCTGTTAAATCTGTCGGCGCAGCGTTTTGAAGATTAAAAACATCTGAAGAAACGAGCCGTGACGCAGCGTGAAAAACACATTTCAGAACCAGAACGGATCAGGTGTTGGATTTGGTTTATTTCGTCTCTGCTCTTCTTCACAGCCAGCGAAGCCGTCTACAGTCTCACAAACAAACCTGATTGTTTTCAGTTTTTTCCTTCTTTCACTACGGCGACAAAGTCTCTTTTTCTTCAAATCTAAAATCTTAAAACTCAAAGCTGCAGATGAAAGTGGTTCTGGTGCCGAGGTTCGGTTTGGTTGAAGCTCGCTGAAACCCTGACGGGGGAGAACTGCGGGGATCTTTGACCTCCACTCCTTCTGCAGGGGGTAAAGAATAAACCAAAGCTGGGGGTCATGTGATGCAGAGGGGCGGGGCCAGAGGAGGAGCCAATCAGGTGCGTAGAGAAAACTGAAGAAATACGTCCGACAAAATGCACAAATTAAAATCATAAATTAGAAGGGAATAAATGTAAAAGAACCCGGAGGAGGCACGCTGTTGGTGATTCTGCACAACTTTAACAAAAACACCTCCAGAGCCAGACTCTGCAAAAGAACCGGTCCGATAAGGACCTGGCAAGTCCCTCACACCTCCAGCTCCAAAACCAGCAAACTCAAACAAAATCAATGAAAGAAAAATAAATAAATAAAAAAACCTGACAGCATTTAGACCTTTGTTTCTCAGAGGCCAGAAGGAACAGAAACAGGATTCAACTCCTCTGAAGGCGGTCTGAAAGGCCCGTTGGACCCTCCGGGCACCGATTAGCCTAATATTCAATCTGAGCTGCTTCCTCAAGAAAAATCATGAAGAGGAGCGTGTTTAGGGAACGGGAGCTGCTGCTTCCTGAACCAAGGACAGGCGCAGTTTTCACTGAAGAACACAACGAGGAGGCTCGGGTGGACGGCGAGGAGTACGTTTGGCACGTGGGGGTCGGAGGAGGTCTGCAGTTTAGGAGCAGGTGCGGGGTCTGCAGGAAAATAATCCTTCATCCCGTCTGCCAGACGACAACGTCGGGTCCTTCCAGGCAGAAACGTCTGAGGTGGCGCTGCGGACAGGTCCAGCGTGAACACCTCTGTCCACGCACAGGTGAGGTCAAAGTTCATTCAGGTAGTGATGCTCGCCGTGCAGCCGCCCCGATCGCTGCGTTCACTAAAACAGATCCCGTTCTTCTTCTGCTCTTTAAATACACAGACTCCAGCGCAGCCAAGTCGACAATCATTAGCTTCAGAAGAATAAACAATAATACTAATATAGATATTTATATGTTCGTATAGAGTCATTCTTAGCACGAGTTTTTGTCAGCAGCCATCTCTGAAACATTCAAGGGGGTGGGGGGCTGGATCTGTACAAGAGAAATGTCCTTTAGTGGGTGGGGGGAGCTGGTATGTTATCTGAGCCTCTTCTCTGCTGAGTAGATGGACATGTAGAAGTCGTTGCTGCCGACCGCCAGGTGGGGCTGGAGGGAGAGAAAAGAGGCGTTTACAACGTCCGGCGCTCGTTCACACGATGCTGATCTCATTATTTAGCTGCTAGAGACGGAAAAACAAAGTTTAAACTACAGAATGGGTCCGGTTCATTAATTATCATTAATGAAAGGTGCCTGAGCATTGAAGCACATTTAATTATAGATGAAGAATCTGCAGCCTGGTTGAGAAAATGATGCGTCGACTTTTGGAAACGTTGCGTTGCACGAAGTAGACGTTCTCCCATATCCAACAACGGGATTTTGGTTAAACCCAGCCCTGTTCGGAGCTCTGCAGCTCAGACGGACTTCACTGCAGAACCTTCATTTAAAGTTTCAACGTGCCACAAAAAGTTGGACTTTAAACGCCTGAAGTAGCATTTTAAAACCCTTCACGGTTTTTACACAGTCGCAGTTCAGGTTTGACGATTTTACCTCAGAATGTTCAGCTCTCAGTGGATGATGTCACGCTTGAGATTTAGAAAAATTAAAAAATTTCAAACCTTTTGTGAAGAAACCTCTTACTCCACAAAGGTTTTAGTTAAATGCACATATTATAAATCAAAAAATGTTGTCCTCTTTCATGCAGCGAGACTCTCCCTGCTGTAGGACTTCAGATTTACTCTCGAATCTTCACAGATTACAGAAAGCGCACTCCCAAAGTTACACACCGGATCAATTTTGAGAAAATTAAAGGATTTTAAGTGCGCCTTATAGTCCGAAAAATACGGTAACTGTGCTCCCATCAGTCTTCTGCTGCTCATTTTAAAGATCTGACACTTTTTTCCCGCACGGCGACAGTTTGTTTGTTTGAGGCTTATTTTTCAGTCCGTTTCTCTCTGTCTCTCTGTCAAGGAGTGAGTCACAGGTGTGCGGTTACCACGGTGACCCTTACGTTACACATTTAATCACGGCTCTAAATGCTTTTCTTCTACATCAAAGCGACAGCATTTTCTCTTTGAGTTTTGTTAGAATTTCAGGCTTTTCTCGAATTAAAACAAATAAAAATAAAGCGACAGATTGAGCTGAGGAGCTCACGCAGCTCGGAAGCTGTTTTACCCAGTAAGGATGGAAGGCTAAACAGCTGATGGCTCCGATTCTTTGTCCCATGAAGCCGTCGTAGTATTTGATGTTGCTGATCACGTCGCCGTTAGTGTTGTAGACGGCTATGAACTGGTTCATCGACCCGCTGCCAAGAAACAAACGTGGAGGTTAGTTGGTCTGAGTCAGATTTTAGGTGCGGAAAACATTTTATTTAATTTATAAGGAAAAAGAAAAAGTCATGTCCAACCGACTGACCAGGCGAGCAGGTTGGCCTGAGGGTGGATGTCCAAAGCCGTTAAGCCCTTCACGGTCTGCAGGACGTTGATGGAGTCCGGCGCTCGAGGCTCGAAGAACCGAACGTCTCCGTTGACGCTGAGGAGAAGAATCAGAGTCGGTGCGAGCAGGACAAACGGCCGCGAGTGAACGTTAGCGGGAAGGAGACGCGTCTACCTGACGCTGATGATGTTCCCGTCCGTTTCTTTCTGCAGGTGAGCTTTAACCACCCAGGCTCCGTGCTCCCTGTAGGTCATCACCCGGCTGCAGAAACACAACAAGGCAACGGGTCACTCTGCGTCCTCAGACCTCCATACACCCCGACCGATCGTCTACTGGGAACTGTGGAGTCTGTCGTAGATTCTTCTTTGTTCAGGACAAAACAAGCCTCACAAGATAAGCTGGACCTAAGTGTTCTTCTTTATTCTTAAAGAAGGTTCTATTCTTATCCATCAGTTTTCCAAATTCACAACTGAAATGCGTGAAGTTACGAGACTAAAACCGGATGCCGAGCTGTTCATTTAGGCACGAGTGAGTTCAACAAGCGACGGCCAAACACATTGTGAGCTCGGAACTTCTACATCTTCAACCATCGGGTCGAGGAGGCAACAGATCCAGGAGACAAACCCAGACCTCCCCCTCTCCAGCTCCTCCAGGCTAAGATGTCCCCAGGCCAGAGAAGATGCACAAACCCTTGAGCGAGTTCTGGGTCTTAGGGTGTAAACCTCCAAAGGGAGGCGTCCAGATCAGACGAACGACCTCAACGGACTCCTTTCGGTGCAGAGGAGCAGGGGCTCTACCGGAGCTCCTCATCCCAGACCCCCTACGACGGAAGCTCATTTTGGCTGCTTGGATCCAGGATCTGGTTCGATCATGATCCAAAACCTCATGACTGAAGGTGAGAGCTTTGAATGTAGACGAACCAGTAAATCCAGAGCTTTGCCTTTCGACTCAACTCTTTCTTCAACATGACTGACCGAAGCAACACCCTCATTACTGAGGGCGAGGCCCCATCCTACCACCACTCATCACTTGAGCTCCTCCATCCGAGGTAAAGCTCCTTGGATGTGTTGAAGAACCAGAAAGAAGTCAGGATTCCTTGGTCTGTTAGAACCAGTCCGTCTGTGCAAGTGTTTGTTCTTCAGGTGGTTCAGAGACGATCCTTGTCCGACACACGACTGCTCGTACAAATCAGAAACAGGTAAAAAGCTGCTAGGGAGCAGGAAAAGAAGAAGACTACAGAGGATGTGATGAAGGAGGATCTGCAGGAAAGATGGAGGCAGACGATCTGCTGTGGAGCAGCCAAAAGGAAGAGGAGGAGGAAGCTCTTTGGCAAATGTTTCTAATCAGAAGTTTTTCTATTTAAGCTTCAAATTTCCATTAAAGCAGAGTTCTGCTTTTGGTCATCTGTAGAAACTCCGTTTGATTGTTTTAATAAAGACGACATTTCTCAACTACAAACGCCGGTAATATCTGGAGAGTTAGAGAAACTGGTTTACTTCAGGACCTTCAAATTTACGATGAATAAAACTCGCATGAACACCTATGCAGTTTTTAAGGTTTCTGAAGGACAAAGAGGTTTAAGTCCTAGAAAAGCAATAATTTAAGTTGAACTGAGCCGTCAATGTCTTATAAAAACTTTATTTTTTTTACATATAGCTTGGTATTTTATTAACAGTCCAAATAAAACAGCTCCACCTGCAGTACAGGTGAGCCACCACCAGGTGGCAGCATGTCACCATGACTAAAGAACCCAAGTTTCCTCACAGAACACTGACCCAGTCCACTGTTTAACAGCACATTATAAATTATAAACACCACAGAAAGAGCACCTGAACTGTTTAAAAACATATATAGGGGACATATATCTCTCATCGTCTAAAAACACAAATAAAATATTTATTTACAAGGTGAGTTTACAGCTCGTACGACACATTTTCTGTTTAAAATACAAACTGTAAACACGTTTCTTGCACCCAGCGTCATGTAGTTTCTGCGAAATGTGACTCCGTGCCGCATAAAAAACACTAAATTAATTTTTTTAAAAAGATTTATGAACCATTTGGTGGTTGAGATGCTTTATTTAATCACAAAGGGACCGAAATTAAAAATAAGTTGTGGCAGCTGAAGGCATCCATTAAAACAAAGACAACCCCAAAGGGAGATTTTAGCACTTTAAATAAAACAAATATAGATTAAAGAGGCGAAGAATGTAGGACTCGGCTGTTTTAAATAAAACACGTCAGGGAAATTAAATCAAAGTCAAAACCAGTTGAATTTGTTGGGAAAATGTCGAGGTGAGAAGTTTTACCATTCGTTGGGGCCCATCCTGCGGTCAAAGACCCGAACGGATCCGTCCCCCAGACCGGCCACGATGAGCGAGCGCTGAGAGTCGCAGGAGAGGCTTGTCACGCAGCTGTCCGCTCCAGTCGGGATGTCCTGGTACCAACACAGAAACCGGGTCGGTTCACTTTACATCATCAATCCTGCACGCTCATGGTGGACTCAATATGCAGCCAGGGGCCATTTGTACCCGAATTAAAGCCATCCATCATGACGACAATTAGAACAACGAGGTCAATTAAACATGAACAACAAGAAGAAATCACACTGAAGAGACTGAAACACATTTAATCCGTTCATTCAGACGGACAGGCAGCAGCGAACGGAGGAGAAAACTGTCAGTTCAAAATTTGATTCTGGACTCTGTTTTTTATTCAACACATTAACGTGAGATTATCCCGAGTTTCATCACAACTTTCTGCAAGTTTCAGTTAATTATTTTACTTCCATTCACATTCAAATCTAAACAGAATCATTTAGAAACCTAAACCAGTTTCAGGAGAAAAAGACAACAAAAATATATATATTTGTTTTTGAGAGGAAAAACGAAAGACCGAGCTGTTGCATGATGGGGCTTGTAGTTTTGTTACAGACACCCAGAACAATCGAAGGTCGACTGCGCAGCAAAAATTATAAAACGAAAAACAATCCACAGAAGCGACAAATAAACAAACGTACAAGCGGTTATTAAATACGTTTAATGAAACCCTGAGGCCGCAGGTTCAAACCCAGGTTGTGTCAGGAAGGACGTAAAACCTAAATTTTCTAATTTGAACAAATTTAGTATTTTTTACAGCGTTTTTTTTTATTTTTATTTACAGTGTTTGTGTTGCCAGGTTAGAAAATCTCTGTATTCATTGAAACAAAAAAAAAAAAAAAAAAAAAAAAAAATTGTGTCAATTTGAAACCAAAAGTCCCCACAGTAAAATAGACAAAATGAAAATATGTCATGTAGACTTGTGTAAATATGACCTGTGAGCACTCTGAAGGAGTAACAAGCTTCTGGTGGTGAAATGGAGAAACTGAGCATACAGCAACTGTTGCCTGAATTCATCACCAGTCTGAGCT